TGATAGATAGATGGTGCTAAAAACGTTTATCTGTTCAACAAATTTTATTGAGTACTGATTATGTTCTAGCCATCGTTTTTGACACTGGAGATGCAGTACTAAATTAACCCTGAAGAAACTCACATTCTAGTAAGGGAAAGACACAAAAAACAAATAAACAAATGTTTATTTAATGAGTGCTATAAAGGAAACAAACAGGATGCTGAGGAAGAAAATAATAGGGCTTGAGGAGGTGAAGATGAAGCTGTCTTGGACGTGGGGGTATATCTAAAGAAGGCATATCTAAAGAGGCAACATTCGAGCTGAGACCTGAAGAATGAGAAGAAGCTAGCAAACTGCAAAGTTCTAAGAAAGAGCTTCCAGGCAGAGGGAAAGGCAAAGACAAAGACCATGTGGGAAGAGAACTTGGTGTATTCAAGAAACAGAAAGATGTCAATGTAGCCAGATAGACTGAGTGAGGAAGAAAGTGGCCCAAAATGAAGTTACAGAAGTAGTCAAAGCTGGATCATTCAGGGCCTTCCAGGCCATGGGGAGGAGTTAGAATTTTCTTGTAAGGGCAATGGGAAGATACTGAATGATTATGAGCAGGGATTTGACATGCTCTGATTTAATTTAGGTTTTTAGAATGTAATTCGACTTAGGTTTTTGACTTTGGCTGCTGGGTAGATAATGTAGTCTAGGGGGACAAAAGTAAAAGCTGTGAGACCAGTTTGCTGGTTTTCATAGAAGTCCAGGCAAATGACCATGATAGCCTGGATAACACTAGTGACAGCAATAATGGGAGTAAGGGAGTGGATTTTATATCTGTTTTGGAATTGTAGTGGTTATTGTTGGATTGGATGTGTGAGGTGAAAGAAAATAAGGATAACTCTTGGGCTTCTGACTTGACCAACTAGGTGGACGGTGGTACCATTTACAGAGGTGGGTGTGGGGTAGAACAGGAAGAGGTTGTAGAAACCCAAAAGTTCCATTATGAATATGTTAAGTTTGAGATATCAATTAGTCTTCCAGGTGTACATCTGTTGATATGAACGTCTGTTGTGTTTTTGGGGGTGTTTTGTTTTGTTTTGTTTTTGGCCGCACCACGTGGCATGTGGGATCTTAGTTCCCATCCAGGGATCGAAACCCCGCCCCCTGCAGTGGAAGCCTGGAGTCTTAACCACTGGACCGCCAGGGGAGTCCTGATATGAATATTTGTTAAATTAATAAATATAGTTCTGCTTCCACCTAGGATGGAGAAGCTACAAAAGAATGTCACTATCACCCAAACAGAAAAAGTTGATAATCTATCCTTTTTTTTTAAGTCCAAGGAAAAAATATTTGAATTCCGGGTCCTCTGACAAGCTTACAGGGAAAGATTTCTTTGGGCAGAGTATGACCTGAGCGATTCTAGGCTTCCTGGGTCTAGGAACTCTTTTCCAATTACATTTTGATTTGAAGTTAACGTTGCTTGCAAGAAGAACACATTCTACTTTTTTACATTTGTTAAAAAAAAAACACCTGCGTGTGTGTATGAAACATATCATTATCATGACTTCATTTAACAAAATATTTGCTGAGAACCTACTATGTACTGCTCCCTTCAGTCCAAGCTACCATGATGTCTCACATAGACCACAGCAGTGATTTCTCTACTTATACTCTTGTACCCTTCTAATTCATTCTCCTCACCTCACAAACACTAGGTGATCTGTTTAAATTCCAAAATTATCAAGATTTGGACACACTTGCATTGTGTATCTGCCTCCCCCACCTAACCCCCAACCTTTGGAGTATTTTAATGCAAATCCTAGACATCGTCATTTCACACCTGTCTATTTTATTTTGTATTTCTAAAAAAATATTGATTTTTAAACATAATTACAATGCTATTATCCTTTCTTCACAATTAACAATAATTCCATGGTATCGTCTAGTACCTAGTCCATATTCAAATTTTCCCACTTGTTTAAGAAACTTATTACTGTTGGCTTGTTTGAAACAAGAGACAAACAAGGTCTGCAAATTACCTTGCGTTATTGTATCTCTTAGGTCTCTGTTGAGTACTCTCTCCTTTTATTTATTTTTCCATACCATTGACTTGTTGCAAAAGCTGGGTCAGCTGTGCTACAGAATGTCCTAGAAACAATGTGGTTTTCTGGATTTGTCTGTTTGCTTCCAAGAACCTATTCTCTTAGATAATCTACACTGCTTTAGAAAAGGACAGACTCTAAAAAATAATCAGTCTTGAGTTCATCAGTGAGCTGAGGTTATGAGGTAATCAGGTGAACTAAATTCTAAAGGGCAAAAGGTGGCTCAAAGGAAACAGGACACCCAATGTTCTTCCTTGGAGGGAGGATGGGAGGAAAAGGAGGCAGCCATAGGAGTGGGTAAGAAGAATACAACTGAAATTTTAACACATTTTTAAAGCACACATGTGGACTAGTGTGAAAGTATAGAATCCCTAGGAGCCACAGGCAAGGGAGCCTGCACTTACTCACCAGTTACTCTCCACAGGCCTCCACTGGATATTTACAAGAAAGACTAGGGGCAGGTAGGAAACTGGAAAGCTCCTCTTGGTGGCAAAGGTGTGCAGGGTCTGCTAAAGTCTGAAAGTAGAACAGGAACACCTACATAACCTCATCTCCCACTGGGCTCTGCATCAGTTCAGGATAACAAGCAGGGACCACTGCCCACAGCCCAGAATCTTCTTGATAGGAAGCAAAAATCTGTCTGCTCTTGGGGTAGTCAAAAGAACCTACTCATATCCTAGATATGACCATGCTTTTACATGAAGTAAAAAGTATCAGGTCCTAAGGGCGAATTAGGAAACACTATCATGTACTTATTCCCAGGCAAAAAGTTGGCTGCTTCTGGGCGAAATGTAGACATGCCTGTGCTCAAGATCCTACACTGATACAAAACAGAGTCCTGCTACTGATCAATGAGGAATAGGAAATTCATTAAAAGAAAGAGTTCACCCACACATGGGTGAACTGAACTGAAGAGGAGGCCAAGATGACGAGCTTATCACAGGAGAGAAGTAGGAGTGATTAAAAAGCCTGGCACGGGCTTCCCTGGTGGCGCAGTGGTTGAGAGTCCGCCTGCCAATGCAGGGGACACGGGTTCGTGCCCCGGTCCAGGAAGATCCCACATGCCGCGGAGCGGTTGGGCCCGTGAGCCATGGCCACTGAGCCTGTGCGTCCAGAGCCTGTGCTCCACAACGGGAGAGGCCACAACAGTGAGAGGCCCGCATACCGCAAAAAAAAAAAAAAAAAAAAGCCTGGCATGTGAGGCTCTGGAGCACAGCGTCTGCCTAAGGCTGAGGCTGGAGCAGGAGAAATGAAAAAACCCCAGCCCCAGCATGAGCCTTGCACAAAGTAATAAGCAATAGAAGTCTAAGGCTAGGGGAAGGACAAGAACATGGAGATAAATCCCTTCTGTGACAAATGCACTTAGGGATTGCTAAAAGCTGAGAGTGGAGAAGAAACATATAGAAAATCCCTCTAGTATTCCAGGCCTCACACTAAGAACAAGCAAGGTTCTTAATAATTCACCACTGGAGGAATTTGAAGCCCTGAATTCGCTGAAATTAACCACAACATAGCAACAACAGCAAATCCAAACCCAGCTCATCTACTGATTAGATAGCCTCAACTTCCAGAAGAATCATGATCGAATAGAAGAAGAAGTATGCCTAGTTCTGGGCATAAACATTACTTAGCTCAGTGTCTAGTGTTCTTTTATACACATTATCTGGCACGTAAACAAAATTATGATAAACATAAAAAGCAAGAACAAAACAACCCATTGTCAAGAGAAAAAACAGACTCAGGATTTGGCCTAGATGTTAAAACTAACAGACAAGGACTTCAAAATAACTGTAATTAATATACTAAAGGATTTAGAGGAAAAAATGCAATACATGAATGAAGAGATGGAGGACTTAAACAGAGAGATGCATGTCTCTCCTAGGGGTTCTGGGACAAATTACCACAAGTTGGGTGGCTTAAAACGAGAGAAAATGATTCTTTCACAGTTCTGGAGGCCTGAAGGCTGAAATCAAAGTATCAGCTCTTTCTGGAGGCTCTAGGGAAGAAATTTTCTCCGCTTCTTCTATCTTCTGGTGGCCATCAGCATTCCTTGGCTTCCTTGACTTGGGGCCACATCACTCTGATCTCTGCTTCCATCTTCACACTCTCTTTTCGTCTGTTTGTCTGTGTCTTCTGTTTCTTATAAAGACACTTATAATTGGATTTAGGACCCCCTCAGGTATTCCAGGAAGATCTCATCTCAAGAACCTTAACTTAATGACATCTGTAAATAAGATTTCCCAAATACCATTCACGGGTTCCAGGGATTTAGACATGGACATATCACTGGGGGGCCAGGAGTGGTGAGCACTATTCAACCCACTAAAGATAAAAATCATAAAAGAGAATAATGTTGTGTGGTCAGCAGAATAATGGATCCCCCAAAGATGTCCACTTCCTAATAACCTGGACCTGTGACTATGTTACCTTACATGGCAAAAGGGACTTCACAGATGTAAGTAAGTTTACAATAGTGAGATGGGGCTATATTATCCTGGGTTATCCAGTTGAGCCCAATATAATCACAAGGGTTCTTTTAAGTGAAAGAGGGAGGCAAGAGGTTAGAGAGAGATTTAAAGATGTTATGCTGCTAGTTTTGAAGATACAGGAAAAGGCCATGAATCAAGGAATGTAGGCAGTTTCTAGAAGCTGGAAAAAGGAAATGGATTCTCCTCTACAGCCTCCAGAAAGAACACAGCCTACTAGCACCTTGATTTTAGCCAACTGAGACCCATTTTGGACTTCTGACCTCCAGAGCTTTAATATAATAAAGTTCGTAGTTTTAAGCCACAGTTTGTGGTAATTTGGTGCAGCAAAAATAGGAAACTAATCCAGATGGCAATACTAAACATATTTTTTTTCCTTTGACAGGTTTATCTGCAGACTGGACGCAGCAGAGGAAATAATTAATGACCTTGGAGATAGATAGAAACTATCCAAAATGAAAGGCAAGAGGAAAATGAGAGAAAAAGAATAGATTGTTTGGTTTTCTTCCAGAATTTTTAGATAATCTATTCGATAATTGTATTCTTAGAATAAGAAGAGAGAACATAAGAAACATTTGAAGAGGTAATGGTCAAGAATTTTCTGAAATAAATCAAAGGCAAAAACAAATCAAAGAATCCCAGAAAACCCTAAGCAAGATAAATACAATTTTTAAAAAAAAGCCACAGCTATAAAAAAAATTGTAGTAAAACTGCTGAAATTCAAAGATAAAGAGAAAAATCTTGAGGCAGAGAAAAAGAAAAGAAACACTACTTACAGTGGAAGATAAGAATTACAGCAGACTTTTTGTCAAACTGTATAACCCAGGGGATAATAGGACACCTGTAAAGTAATGAAAGAAACAAAATTGTCAACTTAGAATTATATATTCTGAAAAAATGTCTCTAAAAATAAAGTTGAAATAAAGACTTTCTCAGACAAACAAAAGCTGAGAGAATTCATTGCTTGGAGACTTGCATTACAAAAAATATTAAAAGACGTTCTTCAGGCAGAAGAAATATTATACCAGATAGAAAACTGAATCCTTATAAAAGAATAAAGAGCACTGAAAATTGTAAGAATGCAGTTAAATATAAAAGACATTTTTCTTATGTTGAAATTCTTTAAAATATAATTGACTCCCTATTACTATGATAGTAATAATATGTTCATGGGGTTGATAATACATGCAAAAGGAAAAAAAATCTAAAAACAGCACAAAGATCAAAAGAAAGAAAATGGAAGTGTATTTGGTAAGGTTTCTACTCCATTTGTGAAGTGATATATTTGGAAGTAAACTGTGATAAGTTAAAGATGTTCATTTTAAATCCTAGAGCAACCAATAAATAAGCTGATTATGAAAATAAATGAATAAAAAATATTCAATTAAAAGTAGGCACTAAAAAGGAAAGCAGGAACAAAGACCCAATGAAACAAGTAGAAAACATGTAGCAGTTAGTATATTTAAACCCAACCATATCAAGAATTACATTAAATAAAATTGAAATTAACAGTTCAGTTAAAAGACTGATATTATCAGGTTGGATAAGAAAGCAAGACCCAGCTATATGTTGTCTACAGTAAATCTGCTTTAAATATAAAGATACAGATAAGTAAAAAGTAAAACGATAAAAAAATTATACTGCCAATCAAAGGGAACTGATTAATACCAGAAAAGGTAGACATCAGAATAAGGTATATTAACACACTAAGGATATTACATAATGATAAAAGGGTAAATTCATGAAAAGAAAAGAACAACTCTACATGTATATGCACCTAATAACACACCTTCAAAATACTTTAGAACTGAAATGAGAAATTGAGAAATACACAATATAGCTGGAGACTTCAACAGTTCTCTCTCAGTAACCGATAGAACAAGTAGTCAGAAAAATCAGTTAATGAGGGGCTTCCCTGGTGGCTCAATGGTTAAGAACCCACCCGCCAATGCAGGAGACACGGGTTCGAGCCCTGGTCTGGGAATATCCCACATGCCACGGAGCAACTAAGCCCGTGCGCCACAACTACTAAGCCTGTGTGCTAGAGCCCACATGCCACAGCTACTGAAGCCTGCATGCCTAGAACCTGTGCTTTGCAACATGAGAAGCCCGCGCACCACAACGAAGAGTAGCCCCCGCTCACCGCAACTAGAGAAAGCCTGCGCATAGCAACAAAAACCCAACACAGCCAAAAATAAACTAATTAATTAAATTTTTAAAAGATTAAGCTAGAAAAAAAATCAGTTAATGATATAGACGATCTAAATAACACTATAAACTAAATTGACCTAACTGACAATTATAGAGCACTCCATCTAACAACGGCAGAACACACATTCTTCAAAAACATATGGAACATTCACCAAGATAGACCATATTCTGGGCCATGGAACAACACATTTAAAAGGATTAAATCACAGAAAGAATGTTTTCTGATCACAGAAAATGAAACTATAAATTAATAAAAGAAGGGATCTGAAGATCCCCAAATTTGGAAATTAAACAACACACTTCTAAATAATGTATAAGTCAAAAAGGAAGTAAAATAATGGATTAGAAAATATCTTGAATAAAAATGAAAATACAATATATAAAAAATTTTGGAAAACAGTGGTGTTTGGTTGAAGTCACAACTCTCAAAAATAAGAAAAAGACACGCCCACACACAACTTAAAAATAGGCAAGGCAAACAATCTGGACCAACATTTCACCAAAGAAATTTCAAAGGCAAAGAAGCACTTGTTAAGTTTTTAATATTATTAGTCAAAAATACAAATTTTTGTATTTGTACAAATTACAAATACAAATTAAATCTACAATACAAATTAAATCTACAATAAGATACCATTTACATCTATAAATATGGGTAAAATTTTTCTAATGAATAAACAAATTAAATAACTGGGGTGATGGAAATATTTTATATCTTGATTGTGGTGGTGGAAACATAGCTATTGTTTCTCAAAATTCATAGAACTATACACTTATAAGAGCTGAAATTTAGTGTATGTACCTCAGAAAACCTGACTTAAAAAATAAAAAGCACTGTGCTAAATGAAAAGGCTAGACACAAAAGACTGCATACCATATGAGTTCATTATATGATATTCTAGAAAAGTCAAACCATGGGGACAGAAAACAGATCAGTGGTTGCCAGAGGCTTGGTGTGAAGCGATTAGCTGCAAAGGACTATGAAAGATCTTTTTGTAGTGATGGAAATACTCTATATTTTGGATGTGGTAGAGGTTACATGATTTTATATATTTGACAAAACACATCAGCTATACACTTACCAAGGCTGAATTTTTTTGTATGTAAATTGTACCTCCATAAATGAATGAAGGAATGAATGCCACATAACCCATTTATTTCATTGATTCAACAATCATTTTTGATTAATATCTTAGGATGTGTGAAACACTGTACTAGGGATATGGAAAAACATAAGTAAATAAGGAAGATTTACCTGCAGAAGTTTTACTGGGAAGTGCTCCTGAGAGTATGACCTGTGAAGGAGCGAAAGAAGCAAGATTGGTCAGAGGGCCATATAGTCTCAAAAAAGGCCTCTGCCAATCCCTTGGGGAGTTCTGGGATGGACCTACAGAGCGGTTCCAATTGAAGCAAAAGCGTTGGGCCTTTGTACCCTTGCATCAGCCAGTCTTTAAATGGAAGCTACCCCAAGGAGAAGGCATAATCCTGGGTGAGGACAGTTTCCAAGGAGGGAACTATCAACTATGAACTGTCAATAGCAAACATTCCCAGTATCTAGGGAAACAAACGCCTTGATCCTGAAGTGGCGCTGAGTCTCTGGATGGTACAACACAAGCATTTTGTATAAGATGTGACACCCTAATGTGGGTACTGACATGTGCATGACTAGTTAGACTCTGAAGAAGAATGAAATCAGGGCTATTATAATAGAAACAGAGATTGTGTTCTGCAAGTCTGAGAACTAACAGCTTGGATTGAGGCAGGGGTAAGGGAATCCAATGGAGTGTCATTGGAACAACTTTATTATATCATTAATATAAATTACCACAGAGAGTAGTATTGGGGGCTGAGAAGCAACCTAAGGGCTGATCTCTATAGAATTCATCATCTGGGCTCCCTTATACTCCGGCTGCCATTGATTTGGCCTGTATCAGAGGATGAAAGGAATCTGAGTTTGGGGTATTCATTCCCTGCCCGCTCCCTGCTTCTCCGTAGTTCTGTGTTTCTTTACAGCCACTGCTCCTGAACAGCTCCTTATCCCTCGTGGCTCCAGCTCTCCCTGGGCTGCAATAACACCATTTTCTCCCCTTGCCCTTTCAGACCCAAAAGTGGTAATGGCTTCCTGCTATTGCTAGTCCCAGGATGCTTCACCATCCTTTGTTGGTTCCCTTAACTTACCCGTGAAATAGTCCATTCATAAATCAGTTCAACTCTTCCAAATATGGCATGTTTCCTGCCAGAACTCCCTGACTCATCCACTTTTGCTTGCTCGTGCTCTCACCTAAAGTCTATTTCTGCTTTCTCATTTCTCTTCTCTTATCTTTTGGGACCTATCAGCCAATTAATTTGCAGATCTCTGTGATGATATTTCTGCTTCATTTTGGGTTGGGTTATTTACCCTATAGGAATTAAAAGAAGTGAGGACTAATGTATTTAATAGTCTAACTTGTATATCCCCCACCAGCCCACCCATCCCTGCAGGGCCATGCTTTTCCCTCTGCCTGTATGGGCCCAGCATGCTTCTGCTGTGCAACTCTGTTCTTCCTCCCACTGCCTGTAGTACCTGCCTTCTCCTTCTCATCCTACAAGACCTACTATAGGGTCAGCTCTTCTACAGAGTCCGACCTCTCCCGCCAACCATCGATGGATTTAAATGTTTTCTCCTCTTTGCTACCATAGCTCACTACAGATTCCTTTATCATAACACTTATCACATTGTTCCATAACTGTTTACACACAGTTCTCTCCACTGGACTATAAATTCCCACAAGACTGTGTCCTTTTCATTTTTCGATCCCTAGCCTCTAACACATGCCTGGTACATAGTAGTTGCTCAGTAAGTTTATGATGAATGAGTTAGGGAGGAAAACTAGATTCTTCTCTAACAGTTCTAAGTATAATCCAGGTACACTATGAATTTAAGGCCACTATTAATCAACAAATCCATGGGTTGTCAGGGTTATGTGTCAAGAGGAGCCTTGTCTAATCCAACTTGGAAACACATGCATTTCCAGCTTTACAGTTTCATTGGCTCATTCAAACTCTTTAACATTAGCTTGTCTAATATAGGACCACAGAAACCCAAGTTTACAGAGTTGAAGTCCAAGAATCTCCTGTACACACATGAACATGGTCATACGCCCTAGCCCAGGCAGAATTACAGCAAATCAAAGGGAGGTATTCTTTCTTCCAGCTTCTCTAAACTGAAAAATGTAAGCAAAGGCAGTAAAATTGCATACCTTGTACTATTTGTCCTCGCTCAACCTTTTTCCATAAACTAACTTTGGAAACGTAAGGTTTCAAGATAGATCTTGAAAATTAGACACCTCTAAGAGGATGCTATTTAAAAGAATTTTCCAAGGTTATCCTCTGGGAGTCTAAAGTTTATGTGCTTTCAGCTTCCACCGTAACCTAAGTCAATCTGCTGTTTTCTATTGCATATGGTCTGGAAAGTAACTACCCACTTTTCCACTGCAGGGAGTTAACCCCACAGCAGAAACAGTGAGTCAGAGGACAAGAACCAGATGATGCAGACGACCCCATCACAACCACTCAAGCTGGTGTAAACAACTCTAACATGGCATGGGGATTAGATTCAGCACAGTGCTCCTCCTTCCCAGACCTGAGTCACCTTCCTCTAGGGATCAAATGCAGTAACAGTCAGTTTTTAATTGAATTCTTCAGAGTAATGACATTTATTTTGCCTATTGTTTACTGTGAAGTTTATGTCAAGGAGGATGTTGATATAATTGCAAAAAGAATTATCTTATCTCCAGCTACTCCCTTTTAGCTTGTTACGGTCCAGCCACCCTGCAATAGTTAGTGATGAGTTATTTAAAGCTCTTGAATGTGACACTGGTCTCCTTTCACATTGAAATGGCTTATGCCAAGAAAATTCTAAACCAGAAGTTGACTAGAAACTGGTCTAGAGAAGTGCGAAGTAAAATTTAAATTATCTGTAAGGAGGAGCGAGAGATTTCTTTATAGTATAATGGCACTGGGATTTAGCTGAACTCTAGGAACTGAGTGAACGAGGATGAAAAAGTGCAAGAAACCCTACTTAGCACTTTGCTTTTAGTATCGTATTTCATTTAATCCTTATGGCATCCATGGATGGTAGATATGATTAACTTCATTTAACAAACAAGGAAACTGAGGCTCAGATGGTAAGTAAGGAACTGAGGCTTTCTTCTACTTCAACTCAATGAACTCTTTAGCTAATAGAATTAGTGGTGGGGGTGGGAAGGTTTCTGCTCCAAACACATTGATGTACTCATGCTGTTACCCTGTGCCCCGCCCAAACATGTACTGTACTTTTTCCTCTCACTGCCTTTGCTTCTTCACTCCCTGAAAACTCCCTCCCCACTGCCCTCTCGGCTAATCCAGACTTCACATCTCAACTCCCATTCCATTTCTTCCAAGAAGATTTCTCAAATCATGCTGTCCACAGGGCCTGCACCCTTGCTGAATTTCTATAGCTTTATTTCTCTCTGCTTTGCTCCTGTCACACTGGTCATATTTTGCCAGGTACTGGTATCTATTTTCCCAAGTATATGTCTTTTCTTTCCCACTAGCTTGTAAGCAGCCCAAGATCAGGGACTTGATCTTAATATTCTCCACCATTCTTAAAAATAATTCTGAGCACTCAATTGAATACCAGTATATAAAAAGCATAGAGGAATAAAGGAATGAATGAATAGCTTATAGAAGAAATACTTGAAAACATGTCTTGTGTATGTCCTATCATTACTTAATTATTGCCTACCCTTTCCATATTTACACTGTAACACAATAATAATTCTCATTTGCCATAGAAAAAGTAAATCTATTTACTAAAGTAGGAAAATAACTAAATTCTTCTATAAGATTTTTCAATAGCAACAGTTGAAACAAACAGAAAGCACAAACCACCATGACCCTAGTTAATCAAGTTGGCCTGCATTGTACACAAGCTTCATTTTTCCTTACAAGAAAATTTATCTTTCTAAAAAGGAGTTGGAGGTCAAAGGGCATTTGTCAAGGGCCCCATGAGTTCCTTGGATAGACCTGTATTCAGACCACAAGGCCTAGAAAGAGTGATAGGGTCAGGGAAGGTAGTCAGAAACACTCAAAGTCTTAATTGGGCCAAAATGAAGAAAACAATAAACTCAGAGAAAACCCAGGCCAAACAGCTTCACTGAATGATCCATCCCTTCAAGGGAATTGCCCATTCTTGGGAACTGTGAATCCTTTCTGTCTTTCTTTCCTTTGTCATGCTACATGATTAAGTTCTCCAGTTAATGAGAAAAACATTTGACTTACTTATGTTCAATAAATTCCCATGAAAAAGTTGGAAATTGGAAACATTTTCAAGCTGAGAAGCATTAAAAAAAAAGTTCAAAAGCATCCATCAAGCCGCTCTGCACCAAATGGAGGCATTTAACACCATCCTGGCAACCTGAGCCATACGCCCTGCCCTGTCTACCCAGCAAGAAGCATCTAAGAAACCACAGGAAGCTCATCCCAAGCTCCTCCAGCAACATTCCTCATTCTCGGATTGGATCCAACACAGGCTGGGATGGAGCCTTAGAACCAGCGGATGTCCCAGACACAGAAATCAGAATGTAACCTACATATTTATTTTGGTCATTAAATTATTTTTACTATTAAAGCCTCTTTAAGAAAAACTTAGGACCAAAAAAAAAAAAAGGCAGAAAAAGAAACAATCACCCATAATTATACCTTCTTAAGCTAGCAAATATTAACAGAATTCTTGACTTTCTCCCTCAGAACCTTCCTCCATCTCCCAATATTCTCATCTCATTGAAAGGCATTGCCATCTACCAATTAGGTCACATAGGCCACAAATCTAGCAGTCAACATTTATTTCTCTCTATATTCAATTAATCGTTTTTCTAATAGCTCTCATATTTGGATTTAGAAAATTTCAGCTTAATTACTAATTTAATGGGGTTAATATTTTGTAAATATTAAACCAATGTTCCCTTTTTTGCTCTTTCCCATTACTCTTGTTTCCTGACAGTCATTAACTATTATAACCCAAGAGAATTACTCCCTACAGCAAGGAGAAGATTGTGATGTAGAGGAAGTACCAACAAGACAGGAAGACATAGAACACCTATTCCTCCAGCCCCTAGTGATTTGTGAAGAAAGGATAGAGGCAGGGGAAGCATGTAGTATAAGGAAAAATAAACCTCTCAGATTATAAGCCACCAAGATTTGAGGGTACTTTGTTACAGCAGCATTACCCATCTTATCCTGACTGATATACTAAGTTGTATCAAACCCAGAAAGC